ATTGAAACCCCCCATTTTTTTGTTTTTTTTTTCGGGGGCAAAAAAGGGGAAAAAGTTTTTTTTTTAAAAAAGCGGGGGGGAAACCGGGGCCCCCCCCCCCCCCCCCCCCCCCCCCCCCAATCGCCTCCGACAACGAGATACCCGCTACCCACCGCCGCGACCGTTGCCACGAACAGAAAAAAAAAAAAGCGAAACAAGGACCAGGAGAAGGAACAAAAATCAAACCCACCTCCATTTTTCTGAGGGAGGGCGGGAGGCTACGTCCCCGCACCCCTGCACCCCGAGACGATCCCGAACCCATCGAGTCCGTGGAAACCCTCAGCGTGTAGAGCCTCGCGTCGCCCTCGCCAGCCGCCTTTAGGAGGCGCACAAGTCCCAGGGCCGATTGCTGGGGGTGGGGGAGGAGAGGGGGGGCAGGACGGGCCGAATCGTTCGTGTAAAACAAGAGGGGAAAGCAGCTGCCTTTAGGAGGGAAACAAGTCCCAGGGGAAGGGCAGAACGAGCCAGATCAATCGTTGAATTAAGAAAAGGAGGGGAGTGTCCTACGTGAACGAGGGCAGTTCGAGCAGGATAGTTCCTTGAACAAAAAAAGAGGTGAGACGCCTTAGGCGAACCGAAGGGATACTGAAAAGGGATCGAGAGCTGATCGGAGCGGGGTAGCAAAAAAAAAAGTGATCCACAGCAGAGGAGAGACAACCTCGCCTCGACTGTGGGCGGTGTCGGCGAGAGTCAGAGCTGATTGCATCAGGCCGGTGGTAAATAGCGGTGTGTACTCAACACGAGGAGGCACGGATCACGGCCGGGATGCCAGGCCAGCGCCAGGAACGGCGGGCTCACACACCCCCGACGACCAGACAACAAAAAAATACTCACGCTTGCAAGCGAAGAAGACCTCGCCATCTCGTGAAAGAAGAGCCACAGCCCGATCAGTCTCCTCAGGCTCGCCATGGCGTCGTCGTTGCCCACACCGCCGCCGCCGCCGCCACCGCCACCGCGCGCCACGGCCCCTACCGCTGCCGCCGCCAGCGGCGATGATGCCGCGCCCAAGCTCTCGCCGCCCGCACCACCGTTGCCAATTCCACCGCTCCCGCGCGAAGACGACGGCCGGGGCGGTGTGATTGTCGCGTTCGAGAGCAGCCTCTCCGTTGGCCCCGCCGCCGCCGTTGCCGCCGTTGCGTCTTCCTCCTGCTGACACCGCCGCCTACGGCCTTCCCGCTCCATCTCGGCGAAGACGTCCGCGAGTGCGGTGGGGCCGTACGCCTCGCTGTTGACAAAAGTGACAAAGACTTGGAGGAGCTCGTCGCCCAGGAGGCTGGAGGAGCACCGCTGTTCGGCATTGGGGGGGGGGGGGGGGGGGGGGTATCGGTCTCAGTTGCCCGTGGGGTGACAGCGATTTTCAGGAAAAACGGAGGATGTTTGGGGGTAGAAGCAGTCGCACGTGGGGTGATGAACGGGGACGCGATTTTCAGGTAAACGGTGGCGGGGGTGGGGGTTGCGGGTGGGGGGGAGAAGCAGCATACAGAGATTTTTCTACATTTAAACCATCCGCGAACAAGGACATGGATTGCATGAAGCCCAGTCAGGAGGCAAACGAAACCCCAAGAAAAAGTTGAAATCAGGTGACCACAATCGTCAACTGGACCGCCCGAGGCCCCCGCCTTTAGAAACCTCTGTCTTCCCTTTCTGATGCTCCACCCTGTACAGCGCCTAAAAGATCTTTACGGCGGCGCAATACACGCTGCAGAGCTGTGAGTGCTCCCAAACCCGGCAAATGCTAGTGGATCGGCCAGACAGAAGACGACCGCAAGCACACACCTCGAGCTTGTCGAAGGTAACTGCCAACAAGGATTGAACCGTCTCCCGGCCCAGGCTGCGAGGGGGCACGCTTTTCAAAACAGCAGACACCAAGCCTGTGGAAATCAAACGAGCAACAGTGGGGGCGGGGGGGAGGGGAGCAGGCGAGCCCATGCCATAGAGCCATCCAAGGTACATCAGTTCTGCAATGTCCAACACTAAACTAAGGTTGAACGCTCTTGCAAGGACGTTTGCCACGGCGGTAGGGAGTAGGGGGACAGTAATCGCTTCTGCATCTGCTCTGCTTGGACGTCAATGTATCGCTCAAGTCGATCCATGTAGCGGAGAAGCGAAAACATGTCGGTTTCCTTTACCACCAGCAAATAGCGTTCAATGTGTTAAAACTGCTGTTTCTTCGTCTGCGTTGCTTGGACGTCAATCAATGTAGCGCAGAGGCAAAACATTATTTGTTGTTCGTTTGCTGCCTGCAAAATGATAAAAAACAAATTCTCACCCCCAATGCGCAAAGCGGAGGCGTCGTGGGCCTCGGGGTCCATCACCCTGCCCAAGAACGACAGCACCAGCGATAACGGGGAGTCGCCCTCGCCGCCGCCGGCGCCGCTCTCCCCTCCTCCGCTCGCCTCCCCGCCTGCTGCTGCTGCTGCCGTCGCGCCGTCAGCATCTTCGTCCATCTCGTCACCGAAGGCGGTCACGAACTCTTGGAGGGTGCTGCACCCGTCCTGGGGTAGCAGCAGCAGCAGCAGGCAAGGAAGAAACAGAAAAAGGTAACCACCACAATTGACGGGTGGCACGTGTCTCGCGATCGATGCGCATTCGGGGTTGGTGGTAGGCTATAGGGGTGTACGGAGGTGTGGGGAGGTTGTTGGCGTGTTTGGGTGTGTGATTTCTTCGTTAGTGCGCCCGTTCCACCTCCTGAATCATGCCCCGACCGGTGTCATGCCTTGAATGGCTTACTATACTGCCACAAACATACGCCCGCTCTCGCTTTGACTGATTCTGTCCGCAACAGCATGACGTTTCAACCTTACAAAACGCTGGTATTTGGCACCCTACCGACGAAGACGACGATGACGACGACGGCACCAAGGACACAAACAAACACGACACTGCCAGGCAAGGGCGACTCTGCCTCCGTCAACAACCAACATCAACAACACCAACAACACCAACACCATCACCAACAACAACACCAACAACAACACCAACAACAACACCAACACCAACACCAACACCAACAACACCAACACCAACACCAACACCAACAACAACAACAACAACATTTTAAGTCTCACCTGGACCAGGGAATGGGAGTCGGTCTCCAAGAGGAGGGGAAAGGCCGCTCTCAGACCCGCCCACAGCGACAGCCTCGCCGAGCTGTCCCGCCTAGTCGCTGCAGCCGCTGCCCCGCCACCACCGCCCGTCCGTCCCGCCGCCCCCCGAGGGTGCACTCCGCCGACCACCCCCCCGGCCGCCGCCAGACGCGTGGTCAGTTCTCGAAGCAGGGAGAGGCATCCCTCTGCCACGGTCTGTAGTTCTTCCTCTCCTGTCCTCAGCCGTTCGAACACCTGTGTGTAAAGGGAAGAAGCAGCCGTTACACATGCACAAGAAGAGGGGGGGGGGTTCAGGTCATTGCTGCTCGCATTGATGCAAATCTAGGGGGGGCGGGGGACGGGAGGGGGGTGTACTCATAGTCGTGCATGCCGTAGTCGTTAGACCATTGACCTCGCATCCCTACAAAGCCGGGACGGAGCACGCCGGGTTCTCACCGGACCAGGCTCTCACATCACCAAGCGCGAAGCGCCGTGAGGTATTCGGCGAGTCGCATGAAGGGTGCGCTGCATCCTGCTAAGGGTGTTTCGGCATCTTGTGCTTACTTCCTTGCGTACGGATGACAGCTGCGTATGACTTAATTTATTTTCTGGTGCGTTCACTTCCAGAGACAGTTGTAAGCACTGTGTAGCTGCCTCGAGGATGCTTTGACCATTTTAACACAACGTGGTGCGATCATCCCCCTTGCGCGGAGTGAGGCTTCTCGACCCCGCACAACGTGATCTACTCGACCACCATTCATGGTTACCGCAAAAAAAAAAAAACAGAGGTAAAAATAAAAACGGTAACCTGGTTGCCGAGTTCACGAAGTGACTTGGCTTGTTTTACAACGTCGTTGCCAAGCGACGAAAACCCAACCCCGATGGCAAAACACCGGGGGGGGGGGGGGGGGGG